GGAGAGATCTAAGGTTTACTCAAACCTTGATGTAAGTATTCAATCTTTTAATTGAATGATACATCATGTTTTATTTTTGCATAAAACTTGTCTCTATGTAATGAATCAAGATCTATGAATTTAAATCCCTCGAAAAGTTTTTAAAACTAACACGTTTCCCAACAATAGATTCATTGATTCATTGCTTCAAACGCTACATAAAATAGTACATTCTGAAACTTTGAAAACTAAACAAAGGTGTGCCTTTGAAAGATGTTTTTCTATTTTGTTTTAGGACTTCGATTATTGGGGTTGAGAGGAACACATTAAATTGAAGAATTCAGGGCACTAATCAGCAACATGTTGACAATGGGAAGCAGTACAGTTTCGAAAAATTCACTCAATTTCAATCCCAATATAGCAGTTGTAGCACACAGCAACAAGGTCATACAAATAGAAGTAGAATTTCATAAAATGAACTCAATTTCAATATAGTGGAATTTCAGAAACTGAACACAACTTCAATAGAACCAGAATCTAAAAATGTAAATTTTCTTACCTTTTTTCAAATTGAGTTGTAAAATTCAAAAAATGAACTCAATGACAATCCCAATATAGCAATAATAGTAAACACCAGCAAGGTCATGCAATAGAAGTAGAATTTTAGAAAATAAACTCAATGTCAATATAGTAGAATTTAATAAACTGAACACAACTTCAACAGAACCAAAAATCTAAAAATGTAAATAATTTCCCAATAATTAAATGGTATTAACGAACAAGTTCAATTTCTTTAAATCAAATAGGTATTTTCTTAAAATCATTCATACAAGTTCAATTTCTTTAAACCAAATAGCTACACCTTAAACTCCTTTAAACCAAATAGCTACACCTTAAACTCGACGCGCAACCCAAGTTTCTTGAAAGACATTAATAACCTAGTGGTCCAGATTCCAGAACACCCTATTGCATAATATTGTGAGCTATGACATCAAGATTAATTAGTCAATAAATTAAACGAAAATGTGCAAAATCTCTATGCTGATAGGAATGTGGGAGAATTTTACAAACAACTGAAGGATAAATTAAGGCTAGTGATATTCATGTTCCACTAACCTCCTCTTTACATCCCTTCAAATATATATATACTTCAAAACCTCAAACTTATCAAATCACCAGCATCATTTCTTTTCCATAGAAAAAAATAAAAAATCACTAGCATCACATCTTGTCACTTCTACATTCCAAAAAAATTGTAGGTCTTCTATCTACTAGCTCTCTTGAACCACGCAGCTTCTGGCACGAGAAGAATCCGAGCAAACTTAATGAAGTGTTTGAGGTTCAAATTAAAGGATATATTATTATTATTCCACTTTAGTCTCCATCTTGATTTCTTTCATTTGATTTTCTATCCGAATTTTTCCTCCATTCTTATTATTGCAATATCTTGTAATTAGATTTGAGATTCCATATGGAGTTTTAGAATCAAAACATACTTTATTAATTTTCTCTCCTCCCTTTATCTCCCTTTCCATTATTGGTCTTCACAAAATCTTCAAAAACTTGAATATTAAGAAATCAACAAAAGGAAGAAAAAAACGTAAAATCAATGAATGTCTCCTTAGTGTGTTTCTATCTTGTATGAATGATTTAAATGGTGAAGTGTATTTTCTTTTCCTCCTACCCTAACTTGATTGTGATTTTTGAGTTATCAATCAGTTCTCAACCAACAATTTTGGGTTTCAACAGATGTGTTTAACATATTCAAGGACAAGCACGGGATGTTCAAAAAAGAACTCAATGACAATCCCAATATAGCAGTAATAGTACACACCAGCAAGGTTATACAATAGAAGTAGAATTTTAGAAAATGAAGTCAATATCAATATAGTAGAATTTAATAAACTAAACACAACTTCAACAGAACCAGAAATCTAAAAATGTAAACAACTTCACATTGTGTCCATAATTTACCAAGAATTACTAGGTGTAGAACAAGGATGAAGCAATAAAACTTAGAAACGAAGAAAAGATGAGAGAACAAATAGAGTACAAGTGTTAATGGAAATTAAATACATGTTGGGGAGAATATGATTGACACATTGACACAAACAACAAATAGCAAATACTTCTCCACAACACAAATCAATCAACAAGAAACCTCCACATATCGACCTTGGAGAAAAGATTAATAAGAAAAGGTAAGATCAACTAATTAATTTGGTCACCTGACATGCTTGTACTGCATTGTCTTTGTCATAGAAGTCAATGTGTGTGTGTGTGTGTGTGTGTGTGTGTATGTATGTATATGTATATATATGATTCTCTATTTGAAAATACAGTAATTAATTCAGTAAACTTGATCCAATTTGATAATTCGGATATGAATTGAGGTCTTTAATCCCATACTTGATAATAATTTAAATTCGATAATTTAATTAGTTAACAAATCGAATATGAATTAGGATTGATCCGATCCAATAATAATCTAATCCAATTTAAATAAATAATATTATAATATATAATATATAACATGTACTCCCTTTGTAATTGTGAGTCACATATATTAATGTATGTGAACACCTATTTTAATACGAAGATAGTAATATATATGTATTTGTGTGTATGTATATGTGTGTGTGTGTGTGTGTGGTTGTTTATTTGATTATGTACCATAATATGATAGTGTAGCATGCATTTTGGTAACTCATTCCCAAAGTATCAATACACAAACACAGCTCCCATTTCCAAAACTAAATTAATCACATTTTGAGAGAAAGAGAAGGTAAGCAAGGGTAATGGTGGTCGAAGAAATTGATAGCGAAGACCTTTCTGAACATTGATACTTCATCTTCTAAATAATTTTCTCTCTCTCTCTTTCCTTGCTCTTTTTCCTTTTCTTCTTCTCTAGCCCTATGTTACGTTTGGTATGCAGAATAGAATGGGAAATGCCTATTCGAACCATTTCTTTGTTTGGTATGCAATTTAAAATGGGAATAGCCATTTCATTGAAATGAAAGTTTATTCCTGAAAATGAAAATAAAATCCCCAACTAAACTTATGGAATGACCATTCCATTCCCAAGTAATATTTTTTAAAAAATCAAGCTCCCAAAAAACTTTCATGCTCCAAGTCCAAAAACCACCACCACCACCTTCCACCACAACCATCGCCAACTTTCACCATCACCACCACATCCACTGCCTTCCCCCACTGTTCTTGCCACTGCCACCGCCACCAATGTTGCCACCTTCAACCAATACACCGCCGCCACCTCCACTGCCTTTAGCCACCACCACTTTCCGCCACCTTCCACCACCGTCACTGCCACCGCCACCACTATAGCTGTCTTCCACAACCATCACACTTCCACCTCTACTAACTTCCACTGCCTCATTTATCACTACCGCCACTGACTTCCATCACCACCACCGTCACTGCCACTGCCTGCACGAGAAATTATTCATTGCAATTGTTGCGACGATGACGTGGTACAACAGATGGCTATAAACACTCCATCAAAGCAAAGTGGACTTACAATGAAACCAAAAAGCTGATATATATGCTTTAGTGGAGTGTTTGTAGCTGTCTGTTGTACCACGTCATCGTTACAACGCTTGCAATGAGGAATTTCTCCACCTCTACCACTACCAGCACCTCCACGACCTCCACCACCACCACCACCACCACCTTCAACCACCACCGCCGCCATTCCTACCTCTACTGCCACCAACTTCCATCACCACCACTACCACCTCTACCTCCACCTCCACCACTACCGCTACTAACTTCCATCACCACCACCGTACCACCACCTCCATCGACTTCCACCACCACCACATCCACTACCGTCTTCCTCCACCACCGTCACCTCCACTGTCTTCCACCATTGTCACCTTCCATCACCACCTACACCACTTTCATCTTCCATCACCGCCATGCCACTGCCTTCGGCCATCATCACCTACACCACCGACGCCTTCCACCATTACCGCCACCGCCACTTCCTTCTACCAACACCCTACTACCTTCTGCTACCACCGCCTTCCAAAACCACCACCTACACCACTACCACTTTCCACCTCCACCACTATCAACTATCGCCACCATTTCTTAATGTTATTTTGTCAATTAAAATTATTTGTCACTGACAGGGGTATTTTGGATAATTTAATTTGAAATTCATTATATTCTAAATTTTACATTAGTTCATTTCTATATATTTCATATTTGCAACCAAACAATAGAATAAAAATGATTATTTCATTCCCTTTTCATTCTCATTCTATTCTCACTTGCATTCTATTACATTCCTACACACTAAACACAGTCTAAATTCCTTTTTTAATTCTTTTGTGGCCCTAATTCCTTTCTTTATTCTTTTTTCTTTAACATCGATTATCTCAAATTTTTTAAAAATCTTTTTCCCCTCTTCTTCTTCCCTCACAATTTTGTATTCTTCCAACCTATTAGGCATTACTTTTCTTTTATTATGCAACCCAAATTTATAGTTTCTTTGCCCTAATTTCATGTTCTTTGCTTATATGTAGTCAGATCGAACTATCCGGTATCGAACTATCCGGTAAAATCGGATATGGATTTAATAAGGGATGATCCATCGGACTATCAGATTAGATCGGATCGTAAAATTTCCTTATCGGATTTGGATCGTAAAATTTATGTAATACCCCTAATTTTCATAGCATTAATTAATTAATTTTAATTGCATTTAATTGAATTATTTGGCTAATTGTTTATTATTTTATTTACTTAAATTGTTTAATTATTTTGATGTTAATTGACTTGATGCTTGTTTGTTAATTAACTTGTAACATGTTTTATCTATTTGTTTAGTTGTTTTATTTATTTTAAGCAAGGAGTTGGCTTTGATGGAGATGAGTCATACTACGGCCTAGATGGGTATGGATCATAGGCCCATGGTTGTGTGTGTGTGTGTGTATTATGTTGTATATATATACATATATTATGTTGTTTGTATTATTATTATTGTTATGGTTACTATTATTATTTTGATTGTCAGACTAAAGTATTATTATTATTGTTATGGTTACTATTATTATGTGGGTAGTGTAGTGTAGTTATATTATAAGGTTTTATTACGTGGAAAATAGAGAGAGAGGCAGAGAGGCTCGGCAGAGAGAAGAAAGAATCGCAGAGAGATAGAGAGAGAAGAAGGAGGGAAAAGGACCACCCGAAACCAAAAGGGGAATGAAGGAGGTTATGCTTGGGTAGAACAGAACCAAGAAGAGTAGACGACGGTAACCCGAAGGCTACCAGCGTTGGAGAAAAGGTGGTTGGTTTTTGATCCAAAACCCTAAGGTAAGTTCTATGTTCTACTCTTCTCCTTAGCACCGTTATTCTATACATCTTTAATTGACTTTAGGGACTTTAAACAAAAGAAACTAAACTTGTTTTAATGATGTGAATTGGACTGTAATTGCTCTGTATATGTGTGTGTGTGTGTGTGTGTATATATGTATATACAATGTTGAATCTTGAGAATTAACATGCTAAATATATGTTCTACTTACTTCAATCATGTACCTATGCTCTGTAATAATTATTGGGACCATATGGGACTTGGTATGCATGATTAGGACCCTTAACAGAGGAGTACGGACTGGAAAACAGAGGCTGAAGCTAGAGAAGACGACTTCCAGGTAGAGTCAGTTGGCTGGCGCAAAGAGTCAGCCGACCGATTTAGGGAAAACAGCCAACCAATTTAGGGGAGTCAGCCGACTGACTTAGAGGGTCAATCGACTAATTTCACCTGCTCCTTATGTTCTTCTGTTATTGTTTCCAGATTTTTGTTTTGGTCCATTTTAATTTAACTAATTGATATTAATGAACATGGTATATTCCCAGTATGCATAATATACTTTAATATGCAAAGATATGGGAGGGTAATGGACTTTAAATGATTTATAAGTTGTTTATGTGGTTTATATATAATTGTTATAATTGATTTAATAATTGCAACAGATGGTAATAGAATTTTAATCATGCTTATAACTGTATTGATGATCTTGGATATGATCTGTTTTACCTGTTTTGCCATTGTTAGATATGGCTATGTTGAGTTTAATAATTGTATGAGATGAGATCATTGAGATAATTAATTAATAAGCTAGGCTCTTTGATATTTACGCAATTGTTAGATATGGCCTTGTTAATTTGGTGAGTAGGTGGGCTGGCTAACAAGTCTAGACACAGTACATCGTGTCATTATTAGATATGGTTCTGTTGATGATCTTATTACATTATATATATGTATTACCTTGATACGAGTTGATTTGTGTCTTGGGATTAGTGGTTGAGACTAAGGCGTATATTGTCGGAGATAAGTAGCTAGATATAGGAGATGTGTGAGCTCTGGTAGAGTGAGACTCTTAACCACCTTGTGTGTGATTTTTTATGAAATATCCACTATCCGATTAAAACTATCCTATATTTCAGTGAGTGTCTTTAGTGTGTATATATATGTATGGACTATGCAGCTATTGCATGAGTTTGGTTAAGGATGTATCGCTTATCGGTTCTCTGATTGGATCATTATAAAAAGGACTTGTTCGTGGGTTTTGACCCACCTTTGTTATATTTTTTAGGTCCTCGCTAGTACCAGTCTTATAGGTCGTTCATGTAGATCAGATTCCAGTAATCATCTTCACTCTTCCGGATTTATCGACGTAAGATATTACTTCATGTTTTTATTATTCAGACTCAAATATTTATTTATTATTATTAGGGACCCATGATATACAGATTCCCGAGTTGTATTATGGAGATTTGTTTACAGTTGGATTTAATAGAGTTATGGTATCAGATGAGTTGAGGATTATTAATTATTATTTTAATTGTTCTTTTTAGCATTATTATTTATTTTTTTATTTCCATTTGTATTATGTGCTTGCTTTAAATACTAATTGTTTGATATCTCCCGATCTTTGGGCGAGAACTTGATCAATCCGAACTTAAAAATTAGGGATATCACAATTTCTTTATCGGACTCGGATCGGATCAAGCCTGATCCAGTCCAAATCTGATCCGTTGACAGGTCTACTTATTAAACATATATAAATAAGGGTTAAAATTATAAAATTCTCCTTTACTTTCCAGCAACATCATATAACTTTGTAAGGTGTAAGAAACCCCATTACTATATATATATATATATATATAAAGTGCAAAAATTACCCACGCTTTTTAAGAAAATACTTATAAATTCCTATATTTTAAAATTTTGTGCAAATTGTCCCTGATCAACATTTTTGATCAATTTTTTTGTTAACACCCCAAAATACCCTTAAGGGAATTTTGGATTTGTTTTAATAAATAAAAAATTTTAAAACTAAAAAATTGGGGTTTTTATAAAAAAAATTTAAACATACCCTTATTTATTATTATTTATTTATCGATAAATTAAATTTTTTTTATTCTAAATTTTAAAATTTTATTATCTTAAAGGCATATTTCAGTCTTCAAATTGAAGAATTGTCCTTATTTGCTCAAGTTGAAAAATATTAGAGAATTTTTTAAACACCAAATAAGTATTTGCACATCCTATATATAGCAAAGGTTTCTTGCACTTTACAAAAAAAAAAAAAAAAAGTTGAGGAAGGAAACTGGGAAAGAGATTTCTGAGAAGCCATGAAGTTCCTCATTGGAGTTCTAATCGACATTATTGGATACGGTGGAGAGAGACCATTAAATTAAGAACAATTTAGTTCTTTTAATTCTTGGATCACTTACATCATTATGATATCATTTTTTAAAATATTAAAATCAATGGTTGTATGATAAATTCACCATCGAAGTTAACCATTGAGGTCCGAGAAATCCACCCAAAATACTCCTTCCGTCTAAAAAATAGTCTTTTGGGAACCAAATTTATCCATAGTGGATCTATAATGATGTGATAATTTACTTTTTATAACCAACGGCAAGTGACCTAGCGGTATCAATTTCTTACTTCTTTAAATGAGGTCAGGAGTTCAAGTCTCAATAGAAATGTGTGTGTACTCAAAAAAAAAAATTACTTTTTATTAATTCAATGTAGAAAAGTTAATATTATAATATACAAAAAATAATAATAAATAAATAAGAGACTTATTTTAAAACAACTGAAAAAAAACTATATTTTGAGAAATGGAGTAATTAAAAATAGAGTAAAGTGCACTAAATCCCTCTAAACTATAACCCAATTGCAGGAAACCTTTAAAGTAAGCAAAACTTCCTACACTATCAATTTGTTGTACTAAGTGACTAACCGTGAAACATACAGGAAAATTGAAGTTACCTTTTGGCCCCTTAATTGAACGACATTGTCTAAGTCAGGGTTTTTTAATCAGATGATGATGTGGCATTGTAATCTGTAGGACTAATAAGGAAGTGACACGTACCCACCTAACCTTGTCAATAACATCGGTTGTATCAAATGGGCGCCGAACGTATCATTCTCTCGTGCCAAAACATCCCAAGCGCTTAACAATATTTCAAACAAGTCATATGTACACCGTTGACTCGTCTCAAAATTCCAGTAATTTTCCATCCCCCTTGATTCTAATTTTTCTCTCTCTCAACCCTGATTGCTGAGTGTGTACTAGCTCGTGAAGAGATCGCCTAGCGTCGACGAACTCGGCTTGTGGTTGAAATTGTGCTATGGACGTTTTTCTTCATCGACGACCATTTCTGGACTGTCGGCGAGGAGTTGTTGTCATGACTGTGCCTTCGTCGCGAACCAGTGTGCAGATCGGAAATTTGCAGAGATCGACGGTGCTGTGTAGCCCACCGATGACCTCTCCGTTTGCTGACGCCGGTGGCTGTCGTGTGTATTCGCCGTTGTGACTGATTTTGTGGTTGGTGGCTTCGTTTGAAACTGAGTGTGGTTCTTTGCTGTAGCTAAGAGATTTGCAGGGGCTTCACCGTCGTCCCTTGGCTGTGAATTGATTTGTGGTGGTCTCGATTCTCCATTCTGGATCTCAGATCCTTGTTTTTTTTTCTTTTTTTTTTTTTTTTTTTTTTTTTTGTTGTCAACAGCAGATTGTGGTCCTTGTCGGTGTTGACAGTGAAGAAGAGCGGTGTTTGGCTACGGTACTAAAACCGGGTTTGCAAAGATCTGGTTCAACCCAGTTCTGCAAACCGAAGAGCGGTGATTGGCTACGGATGTGAAGCTATCCCAACCTTAGTTTACTAAAACCATTTTTCAGAGATCGGGTTCTGAATTGACCCGTATTATTGGATCCGATCAAAACTTCAATTTTTTAATTCCTGATGGCCATACCCAAGTTATAAAGTTCTATATCTTTCACTCAATAGCATAAACAGCTACCTCATTCCCAGATTAACACCAACACTCCAATTATCAATGATAAGAAAATGGGTTTATGAAATTACTACCCAAAATCATATTTTTTTTATGATTTTCAGCCTATTAAAGGGTTTCCTGCTTCGAATGAATATATAAGGTATGTAAATATATAATAATGGTGAATATAATGGACTCATTGGTCATAAAGGTATATATATGGTATTTTGTATTTTTACTAAGGCACGTGAGGTATATATGGTATTTTGTATTTTTACAGCACTTGAGTCCCATGCCATTACTCAAAGTTAATTATAACACGGTCAACTAACGGATTTCCTTTTTATTTTTTTTTTTGGCAACAAATAAGATAGTCCAGGGAGTTAAAGTATATTCATTAAAGTTCGGAGAGGTTTTTAGAGAGTACTTTGATAGCAATTAAATCACAAGGGTAAATCAGTAATTCGGTCTGACTTTTGTTTACATCAAATTGATAAAATAAAACCGTCAATGAACAACCGAAAATAAAAAATAATAAAAAAAAACAATCTGGACTGTAAATTTTTTCATAACTTAAACCGCAAACCCAATACACAAGACTAGCTGTACGCAGCACAGCCCCGCATCGAGAGACTTGCTGTATGCAATACAGCCCTGTATCGAGGTAGTTTCCTGTTTTTAATCATGGATTACAATGAAGCAATCTTACGGTTTCCCCAAAAAGAGTATTGGTGCTACTACTACTACAAAAAGTATATTCGAGCGATTGCATTACGGTTCAGATGCACAGAGACAGGTTTTAAGTGTTTTTTTTCTCATTCAGAACAAGAAGAGGTTATCAGTAGTGTAATGTACAGCAGCAAATCTCACCTGTTGTACATCAGCCCTCGCTTGATAATTAAAATGTTAGACTAAAACAAGCAAAATTCATATATATGTCTAAAAACAAAAGAAACTTTTTATAAATGTCAAACACCCCTTACACCACTTCTATTGCAAAACCCCAGTTACACTCATTAACATATAATCATAATATTACACACCTTAACATTAACAGATGCCAAACATTCAGTAGTGCACGAGGACAACTGTCCTTCCTTACCTTCGCCCTAAAAGTCGATGGTTTCACATTCTATTCTCTCTCTGCCGCGGAGCACAAGTGATGATCTCATCCACTCTTAGAATCATCTCAGCTGCCTCGGTTGCAGAGAGCAATACAGCCTGCTTAACTTTGAATGACTCAGATATCCCCAGCTCTGACGTATCTCCTACCTGCCAAAAATACCCCAACAGTAAGCATACAAGCGGTTTCACAAATTAGCAAACAGGAATTCATATAACATTCAGCCAGAATCTAAAGACATTCACAGTGATGTTGCACAACAGATTAAAAGGTCCAAAATAATGCTCCACCTACAATGACAAGGATTACAACGGAAAGGCATGACCCTCAAATCTGAAAAGTAACAGGCAGTTGGCCCATCACCCATTTGGCTCTGTAACTATGGAAGTCATGTCCCCAATTCTAAATTGCTGTTTACCCCCTGTTAAACAAGCTGATGGGACCAGCGTAAATTTTGCAGGGCAGAGTTCTGTAATGCCCCATTTTTTTCCCTTCTAGCAGTATATGAAGTTTATTCTCCATGCAGTTACAACATAAGAGGGGGCCAATGTCCAGAAAAACCATTTTCACAAAGTGCTGACATTGTCATAATCATCATGTATGTGCTCTCCAAAATTACGAAGATAAAGCAAGCACTCTTCTACTTTCCAATTTTAGATGTGTTACTTACAGAACCAGAGATAACATCAATCCCTGCAGTGCTCCCCTCCTTGTGGTGCTCTGCACGGAGCTGAGCAATCAACTCTGCACTGTCCAAACCAGCATTGTCAGCAATGGTAGTTGGTATTGCCACGAGTGCCCTCGAGAAAGCTTCAATAGCATGAGATTTTTTCCCAGGAGTCTTCCAGGCAAGCTCATCCAGAGCTTTTGCCATCACCATCTCAGGCCATCCACCTCCGAGCAAAACCCTGCTGTCATTTACTGTCTGAGACAGCACACACAAAGCATCATGCAGAGATCGTTCAGCTTCATCAAGCACATGAAAGCTGCCAAAAAGAGAATGAAGTTGCACATCAAATGTTACATCTGCAAGAAGGGTAAAGGAGATGATCTCGATTCCTATGTTACAACAAAAAATGGAAGAATGCTGACAGGATAAATAGTTCAAAACACAATTAAGAAAGCAGATAATGTCTAACATACACATACTGAGAACATGTCCAACCATTACGCGGTCTAGTATTGGATTAAATGTAATTCTTGTTTTGATCTTTAATGATTTTTCTACATATCATATCTTCTTCTTTCTTTCTTTCTTTCACAAAGTGCCTGTTAAACTTTCACTTTCTGATTTTCACTTTCTCCAAAGTAAAATCATAATTTTACTTTCATGAGATGAAATAGAAAGTGAAATGACGTTTAATAATTTATTCTCCTTTCAATATTTTGAAAGTAAAAACATAGAAAGTGAGTTTAATAATTTTAATTTTAATTTTAATTTTGTTTTCTTGGTCATCTTGTGTGTAAGAGATAGGTAACAAAGTCACAGAGGCTTCTTGCGTCTGATATCAATATACACACACAAATTATTACAAACATATATATATATATATATATATAAACCTCTGTATATAGGTGCATTTCTGGTGAATTTACCTCTGTATCTACATGGGTTTATAGAAAAAGTATAGAAAGAGATTGACAAGGCTGATATTCACCTCCTATAGACCAGACTCCAGAGCCTTGAATTACTGTGTGCCAATGCCTGAATCCATGGAAACCAGAGCCTCGAATTTGGGTCTCCCTCTCCGATGCCGGAATCCACAGACAAACTTACTGGGACTATAACTTTGGAGTATGAATTGCTTGTGGATGTGAATATGGGTCTCCCTCTCCGATGCCCAATTGCCGGATTCCTTGCTCGCATTATCACAGCCTTGTCGTTGTTCGGTCCGCCGGTAAGTTCAGTCCGGCCTCAGCTTGGAGTCATTGCTCGCCGCTGCCGTTAATCTACTTTCAGCCAAGGGGCTTTAGGTAAAACCAGTAGAGAGAAACTAGAGAGAATGTGTTTCTATCTTCTCTCTCCTCTCATCGGATGCAACTCGTCCAGATAGAGAGAGAGCAGAGAGCGATACTGATAGAAAGTGTGGTAGGTGGTGTCTTCCATCGTCGCTGGTGGGTGGTGTCTTCCATTGTCGCCCATGGGTGGGATGAGATGATGATGATAGAGAGGGAGATGACGATGGGTGATGGTGGGGTGAGAATGGTGGGGTGAGAATGGTGATGATAGAGAGGGAGAGGATGATGGGTGAGTGGAATGCTACAGTAACAGAAAGTATTTTCTGTGTACAATGTAGGAAGTAGAGAAAGTAACAAATTCTCACTTTCTCTTTCCTTCATTAAATGTGAAAGTACTTTCTAAAAGATGAAAAGGAAAATTATATTAATAAATATGATTTGTACTGTTACTTTACATTTTATGAATTGACAGTAGAAAACAGGAATTATTCCTGTTAGTGAAAAGGCCCAAACTAAACTGGAACTAGTCCAAATGACAGCCAGATATAACTAGATCTATTGGTGATAAAAATAAACTTGCATTATAAAGCATGATTATATGCCCCAAACTGTTAATTTTTGCACAACCAGTCAACACACAATTTGAAGCATAGGGATGGTCGGACTACCATTAATAACATGGTTATACGACCCAAACCATCAAAATAAATAACAAACTACCCAACCCCTTTCCAGTTGCCATTAAACAGAGATGATCCCACACACGTTAACACATTCCCTTGGCACCCCAAAACAACAATATTTGGCTTAAATCCCAATACTCGAAAGTAAAATAGGCAAAACATGTGAAAATCATTTGCAATGACATTTAGCATAAAATCCAACAGCAAACATTCAAAATCCAAAGTGACCCCATTTCTGACAAACACAGGCCATGTATGCTCTAACTAATAGCACTAGTGTCCATCTTGACGATAGTTCGTTCAGTTAACTATAGATCTTCCATCAAAATTTTAAAACTACCCCAACACAAAGGATGTATATAGCCATTAGCCAAAAAGACACAACTACTCAGGTTCTGGAAAAAGGTTTTGGAAATTAATTTAATGTTTAAACATGTTCATATTGTTCCACATCCAAACCTAGGTAATGAACCTGATAATGTTGAAGTTAAAAGCATCAAAGAAGAATATCTTATGAACAGCTAACAATCTTATCAGCAAAGTTTCTTCATCATCATCCTTGCCTTAATCCCATATGAATCGAGTCAACCATATTAATTATTTTTCTCCATTATATTCTATCACAAGTCATTTTGCCTATTATATTTAAATTTTTAAAATCATTTCTTATAACTTCAACCATGTGAGTTTTGGTTGGCATCTTTGCCTCTTACCTACTATGAAAACTAATCGTCCTCTTCTTACTAGTGCATTACAAGTCTATGTTATATATGTCAATATCACCTAAGTTTGCTTTCTCTTATTTTATCACTATAGATGTCACACTTAATTTTCTCCCACACTGATTAATAACCCTCATCTTCTAGTTACTCCTATCATCTACCTTAGCATTCCCATGTCAACTACATAAATATGTTGTTTCTTTTTCAATGCCTGAGTCAGCCAC